GTAACCGCTTCCTAATTTCAAGCATTGTGGGACTCGAACCCTCACTCAACAGATTGGAGCCACCACTCTATCGAAATTAGAGGGGTATAGCCCAAATTTTATAATCAACTTTCACAGAGGAGACTCTTGTAACTCACTCAGAAGTTCCGGGTGTGTAGAGCCTAAATGCATATTTACTTTAATACTCCTACCTTGCGGATAAACTTGATCTTGCGCATCCAAAGGTGATCAATCACCTTCGCCGAAATCGACGCCGTCCTCGCGTATGAAGACGTCTTCAATCTCCGTCACGATCATTGCAAAGCAATGTGCCTATATGTTGCGCTGTTATTCACCCACGATGTATGCTCCCGATAGAATACGCGTACTCCGCCTTCGATGGTTAGGACGCGCCTCGTTTGGCGGTGGGACCTGCTCCGAAAAGGTGTACGCGCAATTTCTACAGGTTCGCACTTGATGATACCCTTGGCGCTTTATCGCAAAATCTCACTGGTCTTGTGAACCCCATCTTGTACCTTGACATTCACAGACAACGCCTCTTTACGGTAAGCGGGACCGAATTGCTGGAAGCATGACGCTTTGCTCATGGTATCCAAGAAGCTCAAGCTTCAGCTTCTGGGAAGCATGAGGAGCGAACGAGTTGTCTTCTGTTGAGTCTGCACGGCTGAATGGCCCGATACGGCGGTTATGTGACCGCGGTTTCAAAAGCACGTCGGTTACGACTAAATATTACGGACGTATTTACGGATATGATAAGAGTCGTTCATTAGCTTGGATGAATAAGATTGCGTGTATAAGCTTCTGGAAGGATCTAGGAGAATAGGCTTAGATGAAGCACAGGTTAGCAAATTTAGGACCTAAATATGTTCACTTTGATTTCTACCTTCTATTCAGCAGCGCCAAGGCGTTTGGCATCATCGCGTAGGGTGTTGAAATTCAGCACCAGACCAAGATTCGGTCGGCTACGCATGCCATAGAGGCCTGAAGGACTCTCCGTGATTTCTGCAATCGCTCGATTCTTCACAAATGTGTGAAGATGATGCGTCGACTCCTCGAAACCAGGATGGAGAGTGGTACAAGCATGGCAGACCATCTGGACTTTTCTGACGAGCTTGTAGTGGGACTTCGGACGACGGGGGGAGGCGGTAGATGAGTCATGCCAGCTGGTGGTACTTCTGAGTAGTCTGCCGCTGGAGTACAAATTAACTTCGTCGGTTTGGAGAATGCGATGGACATAGCACTGATCAAGGTAAAGGAGAAGCTGCTCAAGGAATCAGAGAAGCTACAGAGGAAGGAAGCCACGGAGAAAGCCTTTTGCGTAAACGGAAGCGCCAGAAGGACCAAAGTTGGAAGGGGCAACGGACGAAAACGTGGTGTACTAAGGAATAACGGTGAGTCTTAAGACAAGTGCTTCAACTGAGACAAGTTTGAACGCATGAAGCGAATCTGCTCGTAGCGAAGCGATCTAACAGCGACGACGTGGTGTTTGCCGCTGGTGAAGGTAGATCAGCAGGATGGTTGATCGACAGTGGAGCGACTTCCCAGTTGACCTCGCACAGAAGAACTTGTTCGACTACAAGGGGCCATGAAGCATGTGTTGAGGCGACGATTGCAGACGGCAAGAAATTTATCGTCAAAAGAGCCGGCACGGTGAAACTGACCGGTTTGACCAGAAAGGCTATTCGCACGATTGAAGTTCTGCAAGTTCCAGGACTCGACAGAAGACTACTGTCAGTCGGCAAACATGCGGGGAGTGGCATGATGTGGAGCTCTCGTGTTCGTCATGCGTCATCTGGATCAAGAATCAAGCAACTGCGTCGGGTACAAGAATTGCAAAGGCATATATGCTTGACTGTGAGCAAGAAGAAGCATGTCTTGTGGACTATTTCGGGGGTCACAGTCAGTAGAAGCTTAAGCATGCTCGCATGGAACACCCAATCAAGGATATGCTGGTCAAAACGCAGCGCTCGACGAAAGACATCCCATTAATAAATAAAGACACGGAAACGTTATGTTTTAACGGTAAGTAGACAGTCACCACACTTCTTTCACATTCAATGACGAAGACGACGCGTTAACTCGAGCGCGTGCACATAGATGTCATGGGGCCAGTGAGGTTTCCATCGAAGGGTGGTGCCGAGTACGTTTCAACATTTGTGGTTAATTTCTTGAGGTATGTGGTGATATACATGATCAAGAGCAAGAGTGCCGTGGTTGGCAAGTTCAAGAAAAAATGTTTTTTGAAAATCAATGGGGCATGTTTGCTATCCGACATAGGAACAGAGTCTGTAAACAAAACAATGACTGACATATGTCAACAAAGCGGTATCATGCACCAGCGTTCCGTTCCATACAGCGCTCAGCAGAACGGATTGGCAGAGCGTATGAACAGGACAGCCATGGTGATGCCCGGTGTAATCTGCATTATAAGGCCGTTTCAACAGAATGGTGGGCGGTAGCGATGGATACGGAGGTTTACCTAAATTAACCTCTCCCCCAATACAGCCATCCTGAAATCATGCCGTACGATTTGGTTTTTCAAGGTGAAGCTTCTCAAATGGATCACTCGCGAGTGTTTGGCTCGCAAGATTACGCTCATGTCGATAATGTAAAAAAGCTTGAGATCGAACCCAAGAGTTTCAAATGTATGTTTATCGGCTATCGCGGGAAATGCGTGTTTGACTTGGGAAATGCCAAGATCAAAGTGACCCGTTCTGTGAAGTTGGATGAGCGTGAAGTCGAGGGCATCTACGACACCAAAGCGCTAAAGCCAGAAACAATTGTTCAAATTCCCAAGGACAATGACGAAGTCACGATTCAGCATCAAGTGGATAGACAGCCAATGATGGACAATTCTATGAAAACTGTGAAAGAGCCAGTTATAGATGTCGAAATGGGCGAAATCGAGCGAACGCCAAGCGTCAATGTACATCAGCTAATGCCTTCTGTGCGCTGTATCGAAAATAGGCTGGTAGGAGCGGATTATTATCTACCGTCTCAAATGAATAAATCATTTGGTGTTTTGACCCGAGTTGGAGATAACAAGAGAAAGACGTGAGCCGGTGTTGGTGCTAAGGAACGGAAGAGTCAAGACACGGCAGTGGTGGTCCACCGACTCGACTTACCGTGTGACGGGGTTAAACGGACCCTTGTATGAAAGGGCGGGTCGCACAAGATTGTGCGACCGTGCATAGGTTTGTACTATACAGTTAGTGTAATGACACAGTGGTGTGGCTACAATGTAATAAAAAGACCAACAACTGCTATGTAACGGGGTTACACATACCCTGGTAACAGGGGTGTGTGTCACACCAGATGGGCATGGTGTGACCACACCCAAACAAGAATACGGTACGGGGCTGGATAGCCAGTAGTTATACATGTATTTAGATTTTACTATACATATTTAGGAAAATCTATGCATTTAAAATAGGCGGCTTTGCCACAGATAAAACTAAAGTCAGTTTTGACTTTAAATAGAAGAGTAATGAGCCTTGGGTTAAGGCGGTATTTACTCTTGGAGTAAGCGGATTGTGATCCGCTAAGCTCGTACTTGTTCTGAGTATAGGACAAAAGGTCGGTGGCCTAACTTACGCATCCTCAAAGCGCAAGGCTACGGCAACCCCGTTGAATTCCATGTGTAATGCATATAACTATATTAATTAGGATTTGCTATATTAATTAGGTATTAATATATTAATTAGTAAAACCTAGGGTTTCCGATATTAGCGGTGATCCCGGAACTAAAACAATCAAGTATAAATTCGTTTTTGAACAGAAGTGTTCTTCTACAGTACATAGAAGTAGCGGATTGCTATCCGCTTCCTTGTACTGATTCTTGGAAAGTACGTAAGGTCGGGAACCGTAGCTTAGCTTCCTCTAAAGCAAAGAGCTACGGCAGCCTCGCTGCATACGGACTACGTTGCTCAAGCAATGGCAAGCGACGATGCAGTAAAGCAATGGATACTGAGCTTCGCTCTCATGGGCGAAGCTCAGCCATTGAAACACGAGGGAAAATAGTTGCACAATCGGATCACGATGGGTTTTTGTGGAGAAGTGTGATCAGAATGGCGCTATCGTGCGCGACTGATCGCGAAAGGTTTCAAGCAGAAGTATGCGTCGATTTTTTGGATTTCTTCCCCGGTTGACAGCATAAATTCGATCCGGATGATTCCCGCAGTATGCGCGGAATGTGACTATCAAATGGCACAGCTGGATGTCGACACGGTCTCTCATCAGCGCTTTGACGGCCATCGTTTTTATTTATATTCTGCTTGGTGTCGACAACGCTTACGTGTGGCAGCTGAATAAGGCTATTTACGGATAAAAGCAAGCAGCAAGTGCCTGGAACAAGACAGTATATCGTGTCTTTGTGGCGAATGGCTTCAAGAGCTGCGGAGCAGACTAATCAAGAGCTCCCAAGAAGGTATCGTCTAAGTTGGACTCTGTGTGGATGATATGATTATTGCCGCCAGGAGATCAATCAGGTAAAGAAAGTGCTCAAGAATACTTTCATGATGGAAACATCGGGCAAGGCGGAATTATTTTGGGCATAGAAATCTGCCATGACAGGTCAGCTGGGACGCTTATGATCATGCAGGTTCGATATACCGATGACGTGATCATTCGATTTGATCAACAAGATGCCAAGTGCGTAGACAACCCGTGTGCATCAGGACTGAAATTGTCGTCGTCACAGTAATCTATTGCGGAAGACGGGCGTTCAACAATGTCGATCTTTGATTAATTGTCTATTGTACATGAAGTCATGCACTCTACCAGACCTTGCGTACGTAGTTACGCAGCTTTCACGTTTCCTTGAGAACCATGGGCTGCAACATTGGAGTGCAGAAATTCGCGTATTACGCTAACTGAAGACTACGCGCCAAACCGGGATCGTCTACCTAGGCAGTGGGAGCGTTAAGGCCAAGGCGTTCTAGGATGACGATCGGGACAGTTACACCGATGACAGACGTTCGGTTTCAGGAGTGATGATTATGATTGCAAGTGCGCCCGTAGTATCCAAGTCGAAGTACCAGCGGACTGTTGCTCTCAGCTCAGCTGAGTCTGAGTATATGACTCTCAGTCTTTGCACACAAGAAGTTCTTCTATCAAGACTTTCTACGATTTTACCCAGCCCGGGACGTTGATGCCAATACCCAACAACCTGCTGTAAGCTAATATTTGCAAAAAGAATGTTCCCTGTAGATCAAGGTTCTCCTCACCTTTACGAAGTACAACAAAACCAGATTATTCTAAATAGGCCACTGGTATTGGACGTTTTCTCGTGAGGTATTCGTTGGCCGACCGTGCTTGAGAATCCAATTATAAAAACCACGCAACCAACGAAACCAATAGAGAAGTACCACACTGCTGCCCGGCAGCCTTAATATCGATATATCTCTTTTCAGTATGGCTGAAGTCCTTCAAATTTGGTGCGCTCGTAAAGCGCCTACCTTTCGCTTCCCAACCGGTCATCGCAGCACGGCAGTTGTGCACTGCATCGATTGCGACACATACCCTATCCTCGGGAGGGGTTGAGTGGACGCGACATTCTTCGGTGCAAATCATTATTCGTGGGAAACCTTTGCATCGGCGGATATTCAACACTGCCATCTGTCGTTTTGACTCCTTCTATGCCGAAAATGCTTCTAATAGAGATACTGCAGATCAGTGTCCATTCTCGCTGATAGTCTCGATGCAGTGAAATCGCTAGTATGACGCGCTGGTGCTCCACTGAACCATGGCCGAATTTCTGTCATTCTAACCATTCTTGCTTAGATGTAATGGTCGCTGAATTCTTAATCTCACAAATTGTTACGAGGTCCTTAATTTGGGACTTCGTAACAAGTCTGTTCTTAGACTTACATTATGTGTTTGACCACGTCAATTGAAACCGCATCTTTTGACTGCTTGAATGTATGGAAATCCGAGCAGAATTCATTGTCTTTGACATGGAAAAAGCTTTGCCTCAGCTTAACCATTTTGGATATAATACACCTTCTTTGTCGGCACTTTGGTACAAATGAATAAATGATTCACGATCTTGCTTATTCAGTTTGAGTGCTGACGTTCGACAAGGTGACCCTTTATCGACCAGCATTTTAGTGTTATCGCAGTCAAGCTAAACCGACGGAAGGAGTCCAGCGTGGAGGTCGAAGAGATCGATTGCATCGACAACCGTTTCACAGTATCGGGTGGTCTCAAGTACCATGTGACATGGATCGACGGGTCTACTCCGACACAGACCAATTGATCGAATATGGCAATGCCAACTTGATCGAGGTTCTTTGCTTGTATCTCAACCGCTACCCTCGACGGAAAATTTCTTACCGAGAATTTGTCAGCCACAACGGCCGCGCATACACAGCGATTGCCGATGACGAAGGTATTGAATAGATGGTAAAAACCAAAGTGAATATATTGTTGGAAACAAGTTAAGTCGTACCTAAGTAAACCAGGAGGAGTTATGAAACTCCCA